AGCACACGATCTTGCAGCCCTCGTAGGCGCCCATGCAACAGCCAAACAACGTTTTGTCGACCCTACTTTCGCGGAGAAGCCTCTCGATACGACTCCTGGTGTCTGGGACGTTGAATTCTACAACGACACACTTAACAACCCCGCGGGTATCTCCAAAGACCAAAAGGTCTTTGTACTCCCAAGTGACAAGGTGCTGTCAAAACATCCTAAGATCAACGATGAGTGGAAACGCTATGTCGGTGACCAGGTCCATTGGAACCTGGACTATGCGAAGGCGTACATCAGGATGAGTTTGTTGGGTGTAGAGAAGAAAGACCTGCTCAAGTTGACTGACTGCACGAAGACCTTGCCCATCACCAAACCTTCAATTCCTTAGTATATAGATTTTCCAATACCCCTTACTTGCGTTGCGGCATAATTTAATGGTTACTATTAGTATAGATTTTCGCAATCGATCTGCATGTCGTTGCGTAGACTACGAAGTCGATATTGGCACAGATTTCATTACCAATTTCTTTGTGTGCACCTGTCGTATGTGTCGTCCTCAAGATATTTGCATTCTACTCTGTGAACTATCCGAGGTCCTTAGAAAGAAATTGGGCAACGGCGCTGACCACGAGACCGATCAGAACGCGGAGGGCAAATCGACAAGAACCTTCTTCCTATAGTCACATTAGCAACCTTGTGATTTATTACGCTTTATTAGCATCCTGTCTTACATCGAAATACCATCGCCACAAGGATCATAGTCTACCAAACGGGGACAGGTGGGGTGGCTGACATAAGCAACAGACTGGCAAGGGTCCGGGTCAGACGAGTTGAGCTTGCTTGTTTGTAGTGCGGAGAGTAGCTCACAAACGTCACGGCCGGCACACGAGCGTAACCACCACCACGATCCATCCGCACACTCGCAGACCGAGACCTAAGCTCGAACCACGATACGAGGGAACCAAACGATAGCGAAGGACATAATGGCAACTCAATTCTTGAGGGCGGCCGCTCGCGCCGGCGTTCGATCACCCATGGCTGCTTCCCGCGGATTCCAGACAAGCGCGGTACTGAGGCAGGATGCTGTTATCGCGCCAGTCAGGAAGCCCGTTGGTGCCTTTAGGGGAGGGTGAGTGCCCCTCTTGCAGTTATATTAGCAGATGTTGCCATAGGTGGGATGACTATACACCTATTTGGAAGCTTGTCGTATGCCAACAGATAAACCCGAGGGCAAAGCAGCAGACTTTTTGGTAACACACTGGAACAAGAGGATATGGCTAACGTACGACAGATTGTTTGGGTTCCTTCTCGGTGCGACGACATCCGGTGCAGGCATGTACTACTATGTCATTGACGAATACCGCGTGTCAAATCAGCTCTTGACCGAAGACATCTACGTACGTCATCCACATCTACCTTCTCTGCGCATGTTTGGGGATGAAACAACGATAGATGGGGGTCGCCTGGGTGAAGCGGGCCATTGCTAACGAGAACAGGCTCTCCAGTCCGCGGTCCAACGGATAGAAGGCTATGTCCGCACCCTCGAGGACAAGGTCGATGCGAAGAAGCGATAAAGAATCCACCAAGTACCCACCGAATGGCAAATACACAGCAGATTGTGAGGGAGACGTTGAGGAAGACATACACGAGTGGGGCAGGCAGTATCGCGCGCTGGACCGGCGGAATGGGATGCACATGTACATTACGAGATTGGTCTTTGCCGTGTCATTACGAAAGCGGGCATTTGTCGAGTGTCTATTTTATACCAAACACATTTCAAGTTGATCATGCTGATGTCTTTGGTACTAGTGACAAAGTCACAGCGAACGGGTATTGCATTGTAACATCAAGTATTGCGTGTAAACTCCAACTACAATTTCGGCATCGTCCTCCCGCTGCTACACAGCTACTCTTGCTATTGCACATGACGGTGTAATGACACAACTATGCTTACGCCATGTTGTTTCATTCATAAGCGTGTTAGCTCCAATTTTGATCATAACAGATGCAATTCTATATGTGCTTCCATTCGCATTTCAATCCATCGTCTACGCATAACTCTGTGAGCAACATCCCTATCAGTACCTAACGCCTACCATGTTCCATGACGCCAAATGCATCCGAACATCCGACATACGCCATCGCCTTCACAATATCGCAAGCGGCGCTATCCATTCACACTTCGGAGGCGTGACTGGGATGTCCTCATCATCGTTAAATCGTCCTAGTTGCGACACGCGCTTATAAATCTCCTCCAAAATCCTACCCTGCTCGCCATCATACTCCTCTGGTTTGCCCTCTTTGTAACGGTCCTTCGGGTCGATTGGCTTGCCATCTGGTGTGACGCCCTCAACATGGGGACGTGCTGCCGAGGTAGGCTGTGCAATTGAAGGTAGCTGAGAGGTAGCTTGAGCAGGAGCGGGGGGATTGTTAGGTTGATTCTGTGGTTGAGTTGCAAAAGGAGAGGGAGAAGGTGTGGAAGTTGCTGGAGCGGCGGATGTCTGGGGCTTAAGGAAAGGATTAGCAGCTGCTGGCTGCGTCGCGTTGTTTTGCGGCTGTTGGGTGCCGAAAGGTGAGGGCTTGCTCGTCTGGCCGAATGCTGGAGTCTGCGATGATGCAGTTCCACCAAAGGGGTTCGATTGCGCAGGTGCCTGTGTTGATGCTTGCTGTGGCTGACCAAATGGGTTTGGCTTCTGTGCTTGTTGACCAAACGGTGAAGGCTGGTCTGTCTGCTGCGCTTGCTGACCAAAAGGAGATTGACCTGACGAAGCTTGCTGACCAAACGGCGATGCGCCAGACGATGCTTGTTGCCCGAAAGGCGAGGTGTTGGCACCTGGCTGAGACGCTTGACCGAACCCACTTTGACCGAATCCAGGTTTGCTGAATGGGTTTGGCTTTTGCCCTAGAGCGTTTGTCTGTCCAAATCCAGACGCCGCACCTGGCGCCGATGGCTGGCCAAAGGCCGAGCCTTGGCCCATACTGCTGGTCTGCCCGAATGCGCTTCCTGCGCCTGGCATCGACGGCTGACCAAACCCAGAGGCTCCAAATGCAGGCTTTCCGAACGCACTACCAGCACCTCCAAGCGCTGAAGGCTGACCAAAGGGTGATGGCTTTTGACCCAAAGCAGAAGCCGCGCCAAAGGGCGAAGCTGACTGACCTGGATTTGACGCCTGTCCAAATGCTGAAGTAGCCTGACCTGGATTTGAGGTCTGTCCAAAAGCCGAAGTAGTCTGACCCAGGCTCGACGCCTGTCCAAACGCTGAGGTGGATTGACCCGGATTTGAGGGTTGACCGAATGCTGAGGTACTCTGACCCGGATTTGATGGCTGTCCAAATGCGGAGGTAGTTTGTGCTGGGTTGGATGGTTGACCGAAGGCCGGCTTTCCAAATCCTGGTGTTGAGGCCTGTCCGAACGCAGAAGGTTGCGAAGATGCTGCTGCTGCCTGAAACGGGTTTGATGGAGCTTTCATAAAAGGATTCGCGGCAGTGTTAGATGATGCAGTCGTGTTAGTCATCGATCCGCTTGCTGAAGCAGTGCCCTTGGCGATGTCGATGCGATTGGGATGGACGTCGGCACCTGCCTGAACATAGCTGATAGCCCCTGCGACGTCGTCCAAGATCGCTTTTACTTGCTGTTGCATCTTCTCGTTCAGCGCACCCTCTTCTTGTTGCTGGAACCTGTTAGCTTTTGAGGAAACCAGAACCAGATTCTGTACTTACTGCTGTGGGTTCGTTACCGGCCGCTCGTAGCGTATAGTATCGAAGGCGGAGCTCTTCGGGACTGATTTCGACAGGCCCTTCAATAAGCTGTCGTGGAGCGTCTTTCCCTGGGCCATAACATGAGAGCGGGTATGTTGGACGCTCCTTACTGAGATCGGCTTGAATGACGTCCTTGTCTAGGTTGAAAGTCGACGACTTTGATTCGCGGCTACCCCCGAATGAGCTGGACCCGCTATTGTCACCCGGACGGTAGCGATCGCCACTGAAAGCACCAAAGCGGTTGTTGTTGGAGCCTCCGCCAAAACCACCTCCCCCTCGGGCTGCATCCCGCGAACTTCCAGGGTGCTCGAATTTGCAAGCATCTGTTTCGCGTGAGTAAAAAGTCGGTACAACATGTCTGGTTGCTTACCTCCGAATTTGCAAGCGTTCCGCGGATAGAAGTTGCAGACGGTCATGTCGCCAGGGTAACTGTTTCGTTGCCTTTGTTCGGGATCAAAAGCTGTGACTCTGAGTTGACTGGGGAAATTAGTAAGATGAGGAATATTGTTTGCGTTGGAGACGCTTCGTGAAAGAAGGCAGAGTGCCTGACTGGAGATTGCGACTGGAGTGAACGGAAACTTCAGGGCGAAGGAACGCGACGCGCTAGCAATCAACGCGAGCAGAGCGCCTGGTCGTGTGCGCTTTAGACAGCAATGAATTGTGCTGTACAAATCGCATTACTTGTACGTTACCTCTGCCCATCGAAGCTCCCTCTCGGCGCTTCCGGTCTTCTTCCTGTCTCCGCCCATCTCGATTGATGCATGTTGAATGCTAGCCCGTCACACGTGCGAAGCGGTCAACGTAGACAATGTGAAAACACAGTAGAGGAAAGAAGCGAAATGAAAGGTAACACCTACGGCAGCGCGGTAATCTCTATGTTACAGTGTACTTGTTGACAAATGTGGACTTTTCTTGTGCTCTGTCGATGTGAAGCTTTCCTCTGGGATGGCGCTCAACGTTGTCGAGGCAGGGCCAAAAGCGGTACGGGCTAGAGTGAATCTAGCATTAGCGCGTATCCCGAGCAATCGCACCAGTGGCCTTCCACGTACGCGATCATGGCATGTCTAAGCACCGCTCGATGATGCATCTTGCGCCATGTACATCCAGGCGCACTACTCCATACCGCTGTCAAACTACAGATTCGAAATCAAGACCTATTCAAGACATCTGGGCGTACATAGCTGACTGCTAGTCCCGAGCACGCGCTGTTCCCCCTAGACCGTTCCGAACTATCGCTTGGCATGACGGTGTAGATGCACGCTTTCTCTATTCTTACCATCGGAATCTTCGTTGCAGGATACTCGACTGCTCGTTGGGATCTTGTGACACGCGTCTACGAGTTAGCGATATTTGCGTGGGATCACGGAGTGGTGACAAGGACTGCCAAGGGTTTCGCTCTGCTCTCCCTGCTGTTCTTCCTCTTCATACTGCCAATTGTGCGCATCGCAACACAGGAGACGGACCTGGTCAGTATAGGCCATTCTCGCGATTGCAAGCTTTCCGCTGACCGAGTCGAACAGCACCCGCGACTTGGAGGCACCGGCATCTCTGCACGCGAGCAGCTCAAACGTCGCGGTTCCTTCTAGCGGGGTAGCAGGATGAGGACATGGTCACACACAATGGGTTGATGCGCGTATTTTGGCCATCAGACGCTCCCAGGGACTCTGCACCGGGTGTTCTGGTAGGCTTCAGAAACTCAAAGTCGGATGTCTTTGTCGTCGGTGTGCTACAAGACGTCGAGTTGCGCCAGGTCGAGAATGCACTGCTCGTGGGAACCTTGCTGCGACACAGCCCCCACGATATCCAAGAACTACTGCAGCGATGTGGACACTCCTCTGTGCGCGCGCTGGGCTCCGTTAATCCTAAGAGGCCAGCCGATCAATCTGGCGCCGACCTTCTCACAGTCCATACCGACCCTTCGCTCCGCTTCCCGCGCCTTCATCACCCCGACGATGCCCTCATAACCATGCAAGTCATCGTCTACGACCGACCGCACCCAACGCGTATGCAATACCTCTCACTCAAGCCCATCACGCTGGCTCTGGGGGACAAGACAAAGGTCGCAGAATGGGACGTGGCTTTCGAAGAGCTAGAACGAGCAGAAGAGAGGGAACGTAAGAGGAAAGCACACCTTGTCGAAAAACTGAAGCTACACAGAGTGATTGCACATCCTCGCACACAGAAAGAGCTGGCGTTGCCCATGATCATTGAGCAGGTCAACTGTTCGTACGAACTGAACGCCCTACTGCAGAAGAATATTGGCATGATTGGCAGACGCATGAAGCGAGCTCTGAGCGTCAGTGAGCGCGTCGTTGAGTCGGCCAACAATCTCTGGGATTACATCTGGCTTGTACTCCACTATGCATTCAGAGTCTGGATATGGCCCATAGCTGCGCAGTTGTTCATTTTTGGGCTGATTACACACCGCATAATGGGCGAGGCAGTTCTTCAGGTTCTGCATTGGCGGCCAGGCTCTTCTGACTCGCCAGCCCTGAAAGACATCTCTGCAACAGCACAGCAGATCGACATCAGATTGCAACAGTCTTGCTACTGGCCCATCCAGTATCTCACCTTGCGCAGAAGGAAGATCGATTGGGAAAGCATCACCAACAGTCACCCAGAATATATCAGATTCTACAATAGCCTTTGGCTGGTTGCTAATGATGTCATAATGGGCATTGCTGTCGGAACATTCATCATCGAGAATGCTTCATTCGTGGCGGCTCAAGTCGACACCATTTTCAGCACCTGGTCGGTCGACGGGCTGCGGCGTATGATATCATGGCTCATGGGCTGGCCTGGAGGCTTGAAATTGAACACTGAGTTGGCTGCATTCCTTGGCGACCTGTTTCTGTGGGTCATCGACTACTGGGCTGGTATGTTCGTTCTACTGTCATTCAAGAGTTTTTACTGACTAGACTTTGCAGGCTGCATATCACTCTTGCGACCAAATCTGCCTGCGCTCGTCCAGATCATCGGCTTTTCAGCTTTTGCTGGCGCCACTATGCCCATCTCAATCTTTTCAGATCTCGTTTCACTATTGACGTTGCATATTTACTCATTCTACGTCGCATCTGCCCGCATCTTCCATTGGCAGCTAACTATCATCATATCGCTCTTTCACCTCTTCCGTGGGAAAAAGCGCAATATTCTCCGTAATCGGATCGACTCATGCGACTACGATTTGGACCAGCTGTTACTTGGGACAATTCTTTTCACACTGCAATTCTTTCTACTGCCGACAGTGTTCGTCTTCTACCTGACATTCGCAAGCGCACGCATTGCAGTCATTGGCCTGAAGGCCGCGTTGGAGATGGGTTTGGCATGCCTTAATCACTTCCCGCTCTTCGCAGTCATGCTCCGGCTCAAGGATCCCGGACGACTGCCCGGAGGGATATACTTCGAGCTTCAAAACACTACCGATGCTAGCTCTAACACGGCAGGCTCGGTAAGCTCACCCCCCACTGCCTACGTGCTGCTAAAAGTATGTCGATTTTCACGAAGGTACACTGAGTATGAACTAAAAGCATGCAGTCAATCCCATTATCTCTTCGCGCCATGTTCCAACCTTACTTTGACCTCGGCGATCGCATACGCAAGCACTATTTCTCGCCTAGTGTCTTGCTATGTCTAGTTTCCGGACAATTTGTTCCTCCTATTCACCGCCGCAACCTGTATAGCTTACAGTACAGCATGTTACCCGCAAAAAGGGCAAGCATAGGCGAATTGTGGAGAAAGTTGACTGAAAGGAGTGGGAGAACATCATCACACGAGCTGAACGGGTATGCCGCAATGCCACTAAGGAGAGACATACAAAACGGGAAAATTAGAAAAGATAACTAAGAGTTTAAATTCTCTACAGACATCACATGTCTTCATTCATCATTATCATACGTGCCCTACATCTTGTTCAATTTTTCTCGTAGGGGCCCGCCTGCTTCTACCAAGGACGAGGAGAGTGTTATGGTAGATTGAGTGCCTCTTTTGGTACTAGAAACTCCACAATCAGCTGCGATGAGAAGGTGTTGCGTCATTAGAAATCTAGATGAAGGAGAGCGCCCCTGTCGAGGCTTGTACCCCATTGCAGGTTCATCCGCTACGCCTCCAGACATAGCCAGATGGAAAGCAGTACTAGTCTCCTAAATTGCGCTCACGTTCACCGTCACGTTCACCTTCACGGTAAGTTTCCACGACGCAGTGTGTCCAACAATAAATCTATGAATGCTTTTGCTGTACGCTTATGACCTCACAGTCTTCTTACTGCCCCATCATCAACTGTGACTCTGTAATACTCAGTCACCAAAACGAAACTTCACACGATGGCGACTAAAACTGCCGTACAGACTTCACAAGTCGGTCGTATGAAGTAAGTCATTCTATACAGATGCCCAACAATGACTTCAAGACTTACTTACAATTGTAGATTCGACCCTTCTTCGTTCTTGCTCGTTCGCGTAGGCTGTGATGCCTTTCAACAAGACTTCCTGCTCCATGGAGGCATTCTTTGTGCACGTTCAGAGTTCTTCCGCCGCGCTCTAAATGGCAACTGGAATGAAAAGAAGGAACGACTTGTCAAGCTACCCGAGGACGATTCCCAGACTTTCGCATTCTACGTCAGCTTCATCTACACCAATGTGGTATCCGACACTACAGCCCTTCAAACTATGACACCGGACGGGTTCCAAGCACACATCCTAGCTGTTGTCAAACTCTATGTCCTAGCCGAAAAGCTGCAAGATAGGCAAGCCAAGAACGAGGCCTTGCGGACCGTGCTCAGCGACACTGCAGAGCGATCGTTCGCCGACAGTCTACCTAATGCCGAAATTGTTCAGTTCATGTACAACAACACCCTACAAGGTAGCCTTGGACGACGTCTCATGGTCGATCTCTGGAATGACGTACACGCGACGAGCATTATTAAGCAACGTGAGGGCATCTGCAAGGAGTTCTTTGTTGATCTCGCCCATGCACTCCTTGGTGAGCGTCCTTCGCGAAAGCGGAACGGGGCTCTGTTCTATGGAGCCGAGGAATATTGCGAGGAGCCGTGAGGGCTCTCGTATGACATTCATCATATGGATCACCAGAAGAACATCGTTTGTCCAATTGGCATGACAGTAACAGAAATGCGTTGGCGTGGGAGGATTCATGTCTGTTCACGAATTCCCGATCTTGACATTGGACCAAGGGTGTGGCAGGCGATGAGGAATATGACTACCCGCAGCGAATGTGTACTTGGAGTGTAACAGCTTTGTAATGATTAATGCCTGCATATGACTGATATGATACGCCTTGCATCCGATAACTACCAACCTCATACATCGTAGAGCGCAGTCTGACCCGTAAACCAACGCTTCAAATACATGCCGAAAGCTTTTCGTTTGACAAAAGCCGCCATCAATGATATGCAAGATGGAAATGAATAGAGATTACCTCCTTAGTGTGTGCGGGAGCAAATACGCCATGACTCCCGTGAATCCCATGTCTCTAAACGCCAAACCTCGTTCTGCTGATTACGCATCCTCGGACTCTCTCATCGACCAACGGATGGAGTCGTCATCGCCAGGAGGCTGTGGCCAGTGGTGCGGTTTTGGTGTAGTGCTGCCAGGTTCGTCGTCGAAAGGCTTACGACCCCATACCACGTAGCTACTCAGCGTTAGTATGTGATTCGCCTGATTACATATCCCGACTCACAAATTGTAATAGGCATGTACGTTCTCGTCAACAATCGAGTTCCTCACATGCGCGAGATAGACCTCGACTTCGGCTGGTGTCCAGCCCAAGCCAGTGACAAAGTATTCAAGCGACCATCCCTGCAAACCCAACATCAAATTCCAGCTACAATACTTGCCAAGCATTTTCTCGCGATCGCTTTTTGGCCATTGATTGGCGGGAATAGCAAAAACCTCCTCATGTACATCGACGAAACCAGCTTCTTTGTACCACCTCTTCAGCTTGTCTGCGATGCGTAATGGTCGACCGAGTTTGTGCGCTGCTTTGTCTGCTAATTCTGACCACTCTTTGAGCGGATAGTCTTCGGGCATGTCGTCGGCACATTGGAGCTTTGAAAACCATTCCTGCGATTCCATCCACCCGCCAGGTCTCAGGTTGTTGTAACTCTTCTGTATAATTTCTCGAAAGTCGTTGAAGATGCCGAGGGACATGCGTGTGTGGATGTAGTCGTATACATAAGGTTCTTCTTTGGGATACCACCATGTTGGGCTGAGGATGTCTTCCATGTAGAAGTCGATGTTTGTGTAGGATATTTTTCGCTGGATCGGTGTCAAGTCAATGCCTTCAACCTGCTGCTGGATTAGAATGGTAGAGGGAGAAGAATGGAATCGCGTACCCGGCAGTTTGGGAATTCGGCAGCTACTACTTGTCAGTGGTGGTTCTCCGGGGAAAAGCAGGCATGGCACCTACCCATCTCAAAACACCAGATTCCGGTGCCACAGCCAATGTCCAACATTCTCTTTGGCTTCTTTGGCTTGAGCGGTGCGAAATAGTTCCGTCTGTGCAGAAGACATTTAATAATGGCATGTTGCCAGTCCAAGCGGTATATCTCTGGCTGTAGATGTGCGAGTCAGCGACGGGCCGATTGAACAAAAGAGGTGTTTCCAAGCAGCGCGTACCTCATCATTTGGGAATGGGTAGGCTAGAATGAATTAGCTACAATTGTGCGCAAAGTTGCCCTGATTTGACGCTTACCTCCGGCGTGAAAGCTGTGGTAGGTGCGACCGTACTTCTTCTCGTTCTCGTACATGCTCGGCGAGAGGCTTTGTACTTCGCTAAGACGTGTGAGTGCGCGCGCGGTGTATCAACGAGGGAGGAGTGAGGTACAGGTCATCATATTCTCCATCCGAGGCCAGTTCCGACTGCGTGTCTGCGTTAGTCTTGTGCACCTTATGCGCGAGGATGGTGGGGAGGATGTGCATCAGCAGGAGCAGCAGCAGCATACCTCAGGCTCGACAGTCGAGTGTGTGAAGTCGGTGAGGTTGGTGGCACTGGACAGCGGCCGCAGCTTGTCCTTGGGCACCGGATCCGAGGTCAAGGTAGTCATGATGGGTTGCTGGTGCGCTACGATGCGCTACAGAACACGCCCCGAGTCGTGTCGAGGAGGAGGCGAAACCCAGCGGAATGGCTGATGTCGTTCCCAAGACCCTGGCCTTGGGGGGCCGTCACGCCGATAGCGAAAACGCCGACGGGAGCGCTAAACGTGGGCCAGTAACCCCCGCAGTCGTCCCAACCTCGACCGCCTGTCTGTTGCCAGCTGTCCAAGAGACCCCACAGCCACCACGACTATGTCGAATGACAGCTACAGCTTTACGCCTCATGCTACCAGTACCGCCTGAGTGGCTTTGAACGTGCGTCGGTCCTTCCGAGACGCTGGGTGACACTCACCGACCCATCGGGTGCACACCCTCGATACCTCTGCATCTATCAAGAGCTTACCATTGTTCATCTTCTGCTGTGCTTATCGTACATCATCTACCTAACCCCTTTGCAGCCTGGCCCTTTCGGCCCCTTGACCGCCAAGGATTCCGCCCGCTGCATCAACCCATGCATCGCATCAAGGCCAAGGTTGTGTCAAATTGTTTCCTGTTTGCCCAAACTGGCGGGTTCAACTGCCCTTGCACATCCTATGTCGAACTTTTCCAGTATGCTAAAGAACCCTCTTCTCTGATCTAGTCGTTGTTGTTCTTATCCTACTCAACAAAGGCGAGCATGGCTCTTTCTATTCTCGAGCTGATCTGGATCTACACCTCTACTTTCTGTACTGATCTGCCCGTCCTTTGATCAAATTTATCGTGGCTGTGCACTGAAGTTGGTCGATAGAGCTTGCATGACGCTGGCTCCGGCCAAGTGTCTTGCTGAAGACGAGGAAGAGAATCTACACTGCTGGGTGCTGAGTAACGGTTAAAGTAAGCCAAGCATATTTGTGGGAGGCCAAGGAAAAATAACATACTGAAAAAGTGCGTGGGGTTCAGAAGGAGCAGCCAGACGAACTTGGCCAAGGACATGGGAAGGGGGGAAAGCCCGCTGAATATTGTGCCTCAAGTTGAACGATACGGAAAGCATGAAGAAGAAGTGGGAGGAGAAAAGAAAGTGCAAATCACATTGCATCAAGATGGTGATGCACCTATGCCCCGCTACTAATGTACAGGTAGTTGTGCCAGAGAAGCTTTCGATAACGCATTATTTACCGGCCCTTCTTGACCCAGCCCTCCAAGTTCTCCCGTGTATCGGCCAGCTTGCCCTCGACCATACCAACAGTTCCCTGTGCGTGTGCCTTTCCAGTCTCAATGAACTGCGAAATCCTGCTCTTCATGCGCAGATGCGTGTCTGCGAGGACGGGGTATCGCTCTTCGTAGGTCCAGATGAGGTCTCCAACGTTTTTGGTAGTGATTGGAAGGACAAAGTTTGCGGCGGTGATGCCGACAGCGACTGGAACTGAGGTTCGCAGCAAAATGTTCCTGTTGCGTGTAATAATGGAACCTGCCATGGAGGAAACGAGGACATAGAGAGCACCAGGGAGGACCTTCTCGCCCGATTCTCTCGGCGGGGCTAATGAGCGGATGGTGCTTGTGAAGGAGTGCTCGAGGCGGAGGGTTTCGGTAAGGGCGTTATCAACGGCCTTTTCACCGCGCACCGCTTGCTCGTACAGAGCCATGCGCGCGCGGCCAATCTGGACTGCGAGGCGGTCGGTCGGTGTTGGGCGGTAGGTAGACTCTGGGGCCGACGACGAGTTTGATGGGTCTACTAGAGAGGGAGCAGTAGGAGCTGTGGTATCGATGGGCATGTCATCGTAGATGGGTTTGCGGTCCTGCCGTGACGTTAGCATTGCGATGCACCCACGGGCCAGAGACTCTGAAAAGGAGTCTCCGAGGGCTCAAAGGCATGCCGACATACAAAGTGATCCGCGGGTCGCTCCTCTGCATACACGGTTCCTGGTGCGAAGATTGCGGCGGCCGAAAGGGCGGCCATGGCGGGGACAGTGGCGCGCTGAACGAGGGCAATACACCGTCTTCCATCTTGTCAAGACTACTTACCTGCCGTAACAGCGGTCTGAAAGCCATATCGAGCGTGGGGCAGGCGCAATGCGTCGAGTTTGGTGGTGTCCAACTTGTGATGTTGAGCTCAGAAGACGCGGAAACGGCCGTGCGAGCGCCGCAAGATTCCCGTCCTCGGCTTAGCTATGACATCGTGCCCCAGGTGCGTCTTGTCTTCTCCCTGCCAGGCCACCCTTCACCCGCGCAACCCAATATGCTTAAGCGCCTCGCACGCACAAAGCAGTCGCCATGGGTCTGCCACCAATGTCTCCAACACTCCCGCCGCCAGCGACGCTTCAACTCCACTGTGGCCGCCGCCGCCGCCAAAGCACGCGATCCTGCCCCCAACCCGCTCTACGGCCTGTCTGCCAGCGGCAAGACAGATGACGACGCCCTCCGCAAGGTTTTCGATAATGCTTCTTTCTGGGACAGCTTCAAGCGCGCATCCCAGAAGGGCACACCCACGGGAATAATAGGCAACAAATACCTTACCCATCCCCAGGGTTTCGTTGACTTTGTCACTGTGACCATACAACGCTGCAATGCCGTGGTGCAGAAGGTGGCAGCAGCGCAGTCGGTCGACGACTTCAAGCACATGGTCAAAGACCTCGATAAGCTCAGTGATCTGCTATGTCGGGTAATAGACTTGGCCGACTTTGTAAGAGGCACGCATCCGGATCGCAAGTTCCAGATCATGGCAATGAAAGCCTACCAAACCGTGTTCCAGTATATGAACCAGCTGAACACGACACCAGTACTACATGACCAGCTGAAGAAGGCCTCGGAGATATCCGAGGTATATGACACATGGACCGAGGAGGAGCGCATCGTAGCGAGGATACTGATGGAGGACTTTTCAAGATTTGGTATTGGTCTAGACGACAAGACAAGGGAGCGCCTAGTAGATTTGAGTGGCGAGATTGCCGATGTTGGCAACGAATTCGTCGAAGGCATGGCTCCGGAGAAGCTGAGCCTGAAGTTCAAGTCATCAAGGCTGAGAG